AAAAAAGAAATCCCAGGACTTCCCTGGTGGTGCAGTGGTTGGGCATCCGCCTGCCAATGCAGGGGACAGAGGTTTGATCCCTGGTCCGGGAAGATCCCACATACCGTGGAGCAACTAAGTCCGTGCACCACAACTACTGAGCCTGCACTCTAGAGCCCGCAAGCCACAACTACTGAGCCCGCATGCCACAACTACTGAGCCCGCGTGCCACAACTACTGAGCCCGCACGCCTAGAGCCCACGTTCCACAACAAGAGAAGCCACCACGATAAGAAGCCAGCACAACGAAGACTTGCCACAACTAGAGAAAGCCTACGTGCAGCAACAAAGACCCAATGCAGCAAAAAATAAATAAATTAAAAAAATAAAAAAAAATCCCACAAGCTATGTGGCACAGCCAAAATAAAATAAAATCTGAATTCCATATAATGGTCACATGTCATGAAATGTTATTCTTTTAATTTTCTTCCCCCCATGTAAAAATGAAAAATATGTAAATGTGAAAATGTCAGAAGAGAAAAAAATGTAAAATCTTTACCCAAAGGCTGAATGAAACAGGTGGCGACCAATACCTGGCTCTACGACCTGCCTGGTATAATTCCCTCCTCACAGCCTGGCTGCCCAAGTCCTCGCCCCACAAGGCCAGCGTCATCCCTCTTACCTTCAATGATCTTTGCTGCAAACTCTCGGATGGACTTAAGGGAGGCCAAGTCCAGGTGCCGGGCGTTGACGTGGTGATTAAGGGTCTCCCCTCGAATCTCCCTGGCTGCTGCCTCACACTTCTCCAAGTCTCGACAGGCCAGAATGATGGTACCTCCTGGAAGAGCCAGACCAAAAAAAAAGAAAAACTTTTTAATTAAATTTTTTAACAAATCTCCACTCCTGAAGCAACCTAAATGTCCATCAGCAGAGGAATGGATAAAGAAGATGTGGTACATATATACAATGGAATACTACTCAGCCATAAAAAGAACAAAATAATGCCACCTGCAGCAACATGGATGGACCTAGAGATTGTCATACTGAGGGAAGTAAGTCAGACGGAGAAAGACAAATATCAGATGGTATCACTTATATGTGGAGTCCAATAAAAGGGTACAAATGAAGTAACGTACAAAACAGAAGTGGAGTCATGTATGTAGAAAACAAACTTACGGTTACCAGGGGATAGGGAGATAAACTGGGAGATCGGGATTGACATACACACACTATTATACATAAAATAGGTAACTAATAAGAACCTGCTGTATAGCACAGGGCACTCTACTCAATACTCTGTAATGACCTATATGAAAAAAGAATCTAAAAAAAAAAAAAGAGTGGATATATGTATACGTATAACTGATTCACTTTGCTGTACACCTGAAACTAACACAACATTGTAAATCAACTATACTCCAATAAAAATTTTTAAAAAATTAAAAAAAAAAGATCCACTCCTAAGTATAGATACCCAAGATAAATGAAAACATAAGTCCACACAAAAATGCGTACTCAAATGTACACAACAGCACTATGCAGAATAGCCAGAGGTGAAAACAACCCAAATGTCCATCAAGGGATAAATGAATATTGGTGGGGAGGGATAAATTGGGAGTTTGGGATTGACATGTACACACTACTATACATAAAATAAATAACCAACAAGGACCTACTGTACAGCACAGGGAACTCTGCTCAATATTCTGTAACAACCTAAATGAGAACAGAACTTGAAAAAGAACAGATACATGTATATGTATAACTTTGCTGTACACCTGAATCACTTTGCTGTACACCTGAAACTAACACAACATTGTAAATCAACTATAGTCCAATATAAAATTTTTAAAAAAATTTTTTAGGGGATGAATGAATAAGTGAAATGTGGTTTGTCCATCAGTGGAATATTAGCCATAAAAAGGAAGGAAATTCCAACATATCTACACCATGGATGAACCTCACAAACGTGATGCTCAGTGAAAGAAGCCAGACACAAAAGGACACAGAGTGCATGACTCATTTATCTGAAATGTCCAGAAGAGGCAAATCCACAGAAGGAAGATCAGTGGTTTCCTAGCTTTGGCGGGGAAGGAAAATTAGGGGATGATGGCTTAGAGGAGCCAGGTTTCGTTTTGGGGTGATGCAAAATGTTCTAAAATGGAGACCAGTGATGGCTGCACAATTCTGTGAATATACTAAAAATCATGGAAGTGTATACTTTAAATGTGTGAATTAAATCTTAATACAGCCTTTAAAAAGAAAACTTTTGGGGGACTTCCCTGGCAGTCCAGCAGGTTAAGGCTCCGTGCTTCCACTGTAGGGGGTGCAGGTTCCATCCCTGGTCGGGGAACTAAGTTCCCGCATGCCGGGGCGGCACAGCCAATATTTAAAAAAAAAAAAAGGAAAAAATTTAATTTTTTTAACTTTTATTTTCAAATTAGAAAAGTGAGAAGAAACAGGGATTGAGAGGACGGGCAGCAAGGATGCTGAACCTCGTGGGTCTACAGGGCTCATCCTCCACAGCTGGGCCAGCTGCCTCCTACACATCTGGCCCCCCCATCACACAGTCCAGAATGGACTCATCAAGTTCTGGATCTGTCTGTCCTCCCAGTGGCAGCCTGGCTCTCAAGGGACCACAGTGGGTGTGTTGGCCCAATTTCCCTTCTCACTTTTTTTTTCTTTAAATAAATTAGCTGTCTTATTTTTTGTTTTCATTTTCTTAATTTCTTTTTTTTTAATTTGTCTATTTATTTATGTTTGGCTGCGTTGGGGCTTTGTTGCTGCGCATGAGCTTTTTCTAATTGCGGCAAGCAGGGGCTACTCTTTGTTGCGGTGCGCGGGCTTCTCACTGCGGTGTCCTCTCTTGTTGCAGAGCACGGGCACTAGGCGCGTGGGCTTCAGCAGTTGTGGTGCGCAGGCTCAGTAGTTGTGGCGCACGGGCTTAGTGGCTCTGTGGCACATGGGATCTTCCCGGACCAGGACTCGAACCCACGTCCCCTGCGTTGGCAGGCGGATTCTTAACCACTGCGCCACCAGGGAAGTCCCTCTCTTCTCGCTTTTTCCTGAAAGGAGCGCCTGTCCCTCCCTTTGGGAAACCCCATGTGGTGTGGGGGGCAGGGGGGCTGCCCTCATGGCCCCCCACCACTCTCACCTCAGGAGTGAACAGGCAGCTCAGGCCTGGTCAGTCCATCAGGGACCCATTCACTGGCCACCTCGACTCGACCAGCCCAAGGAGGATTTCCGGTCTCCCCAGCCCTCACCCCTGCCCTGCCCTGGCCTCCCCATCCCAGCCAAGGCAGCTTTGGTCTTCCAGCTGTTCAAACAAAACCTTAACTCCTCCCTTTCTCGTACCTGAGCCCACTGGAAACCCCACTGATTCCAAGTTCAAAAGACATCTGCATGTGCTGAAGAGGGCACTTCTCCATAAGCCCAGTCTGACCATGAGAAAAACGTCAAACAGACCCAAATCGAAGGGTGTTCTTTCTACAAAACGTCTGACCAGTAAGCTTGGGAGAGCCTGACCCCCAACCTCTGACCTAGGCCCTGACCCAGCCATTAGGACTAAGTCCAACTACAGTAGGAAAGGGCACAGCCGATGCAAAGAGAAAAACCCAAACCAATAACTGCTGAGCGCCCATGGCCTCCTCTGAGATCCTGAACCTGCCCTTCCCTCTTCCAGAGACACAAGGCTTTCGGGCTTAAGCCGGCGTGAGTTTGTTTCTACCACTTGCAACCAAAAGAATCAGATGCCTTAACATCCCCCGGGAAATCAAACCATCCACCGCCAGATCTTGCGCCCGAGCCTCAGGCAGAGAAGCAGGTGCCCACCGGGACTTCACCTCTTCTGGCCAGCTCCAAGGCGGTCTGTTTCCCGATGCCCGTGTTGGCGCCGGTCACAATGACGGTCTTCCCGGGAATGGTGGTCTTGCTGGGACAAGCCCCGCCGGCGACAAAGTCCCTGGAGGTAAGAAAGGGCAGGTCAGTTCGGTCTGTCTGTCCTCTCTCACCACAGGTGTCCCTGACTGTTGTGATCTGAGGGAAATGACCTCTCTGAGCTTGTGTTCCCCCAACGGAAAGATGGAAGCGACATCGCATAACTCCATGGGACCAGTGTCATGGTACAGGTAAAGGACTCAGCATGGTCTGGTGCGGGGAGCGTGCACAGCGAGACAATCGTCATTTTAGAAAGACCCCCTGTATTCGCTTCCTGTGGCTGCTCTAACAGATCACCACAAGCTCAGTGGGTTAAAACCATGCAATGGGGCTTCCCTGGTGGCACAGTGGTTGAGAGTCCACCTGCCGATGCAGGGAACACGGGTTCGAGCCCTGGTCCGGGAAGATCCCACATGCCGCGGAGCGGCTGGGCCCGTGAGCCATGGCCACTGAGCCTGCGCATCCGGAGCCTGTGCTCCGTAACGGGAGAGGCCACAGCAGTGAGAGGCCCGCACACCGCAAAACAAAAAAAACAAAAAAAACATGCAACGGTATTTCCTACAGTCTGCAGGTCAGAGTCCGAAATGGGTCTCCCTGGGCTACAATCGAGGTGTCGGCAGAGCTGTGTGCCTTCTGGAGGCTCCAGGGAGAACTGAGAATCGTCCCCATTCCTTTTCCAGATTCTAGGGGCCGTCTGCATCCCTTGGCTCGTGGCCCCTTCCTTCACCTTCAAAGTCAGCGGCACAGCATCTTCAAGCCCCTGACTCTGATGCTTCTGCCTCCCTTATAAGGACCGTTGTGATGCTGTCGGGCCACCTGGATAACCCAGATCATCTCCCATCTCAAGGTCCTTAACACATTGACATCTGAAAAGTCCCCTTTGACAAGTTCTGAGAATTACGACGTGCACATCGTTGGGGGCCCTTATTCTGCTACTATGCCCACATTCCAGAGGCTAAATACTGGAAACAACCAAATGTCTTCAACAGGGAACTGGCCAAATAAACAATGTTATCTCCACACAAGAGAAGGGCAATGTACAACACGGTAGCCACCAGCCACCAGAGGCTTTTTTTTTCTTTTTTTTTAATTAATTTATTTTTTATATTTATTTTTGGCTGCATTGGGTCTTCATTGCTGCACAAGGGCTTTCTCTAGTTGCGGCGAGCCGGGGCTACTCTTCGTTGCAGTGCGCGGGCTTCTCATTGCAGTGGCTTCTCTTGTTGCAGAGCATAGGCTCTAGGCACCTGGGCTTCAGTAGTTGTGGCACACAGGCTCAGTACTTGTGGCTTGTGGGCTCTGGAGCACAGGCTCAGTAGTTGTGGTGCACTGGCTTAGTTGCTCCGCGGCATGTGGGATCTTCCCGGACCAGGGCTCGAACCCGTGTTCCCTGCATCGGCAGGTGGACTCTCAACCACTGCGCCACCAGGGAAGTCCCCTGAGGCTAATTTTTTAATTTAATTAAAAATAAATAGTCTAAACTAACACAACATAGTAAAGCAACCATACTCCAATAAAATTGTTTTTAAAAATAAAAAGTAAAAAAAAAAAAAAAAAAAAGCCATACTTCCCCCCCCCTAGGGCATTCAGTTTTCTTTTACTCTTCCCATGCTGGCACTTTTTTATTTTTAAGCTTTTTCAGAACTGAAAGACATCAGCATGAATAAAAATAACAGCAGCCGAGGGACTTCCCCAGTGGCGCAGTGGTTAAGAATCTGCCTGCCAAAGCAGGGGACGTGGGTTCAAGCCCTGGTCAGGGAAGATCCTACATGCCGCGGAGCAACTAAGCCCGTGCGCCACAGCTACTGAGCCTGTGTTCTAGAGCCCGCGAGCCACAACTACTGAGCCCGCGTGCCACAACTACTGAAGCCTGCACACCTAGAGCCCGTGCTCCACAACAAGAGAAATCACCGCAATGAGAAGCCTGCGCACCGCAACAAAGAGTAGCCTCCGCTCGCCGCAACTAGAGAAAGCGCACGCGCAGCAACGAAGACCCAAGCAGCCAAAAATAAATAAATAAATAAAAAGTAGTCGCACGGTATGGCTCATAATGGACAGGGCAAATGTAAAACATTTCGATGATCACAGGAAGTTCTACTGACCGGTGCTCCTACAGAATATTTGGTAGCTGTTTTTTGGTTTGGGGGGGATTTTTATATTAAAGTATAGTTGATATACAATATTATATAAGGTACAGGTGTACAATATAGTGATTTACAATTTTTAAAGGTTATATTCCATTTATAACCTATTCCATTTATAACATAAAATATTTGCTATATTCCACGGGTTGTGCAATATATCCTTGTATCTTATTTTATACCTAATAGTTTTTACTTCTTAGTCCCGTTTTGTCTTGTTTTTATTAAACGAATTAGCCTAGGAAAGAGAAGAAAGGAACTACAGTATGTCTACATACCACGCAATACGATCTTTTCACTTACTGACTTGGACAATTCTAATTTGTTTCTCTAATTCCGGACAACGGGAGCTTAGGTGGTACACACTTTCCTTGCATCTGGGCCACGACTTGACATATGGGAAGTGCTCAATAAGTGTCCACTGAATGAATGAATTAATCCATTAAAAGTCCAGAAGCAACTAGACCAAAATGTTTACCAGGCCCCGGATCCGCCCCCTTCTCTGGGTGACCTTGGGCGGTGACCTGCCCTCTCGGGGACCAGGCTTGCCCCTGCATTCTCTGGGAGCACTGCTGGACGGGTGAGCTGGAGGACTCCTGGGTGGGCCAAGGGTTGGCAATCTCCACTCGTCTTTCCCTCCCTCGTCCTTGCCCACCGGCCAGCCGTCACCGCGCCTGCGGGACCCGCACGTACTTACTTGAGCAGCACGGCGCCACCCACCGCTGTGCCCAGCACGGACAGTGGCAGAATGTAGCGATTCATTACGGGCCGGAGCCGGCGGGCGCGGGGGGGCGTCCCACTGCAGCCGCCCGCAGACCCGCGCCCGGGGTCAGTCCTAGGAACGCGCTGCCTGGGATTCACGTGGGGAAGTGCAGGCCCGGGTGAAACCCTCGGCTTCCGGAAACGGGCGGGGCGGGACTTCCGGGGCAGGGGCCTATGGGGAGGGGCCGTGAGCGCAGCGGCAGCTGGGCATGGTAGTTTCCGGAGCCGGGGGCGAGGCCGTGGTCTCGGGGGCGGGGCCTACACGCAGTTCCAATAATGTCACACTCGCACAGCTGCTGGAGGGACCCCACGATCCCAATCCAGCAGCTGCTGCTTCCGGACTTCGGTCCTCTGTGTCTTTCAAATGTACCAACTTGTTTCCTCTTCTAAAAATATGTTCCTTACAAAGTACTACGTATAAAATAAGCTACAAGGATATACTGTACAGCACAGGGACTATAGCCAATATTTTATAAAAACTGTAAAGGGAATATAATCTCTAAAAATTTTGAATCACTATGTTGTACACCTGAAACTAATATAATATTGTAACTCAACTATACTGCAATAAAAATAAATAAGGAACATAAATATATGTGTTCCTCGTAGACTTTCTGGGACAATTTGATAATTTCAATGCTCAGAATCCAAGACCTACTAGCCTGGGAGGTTCCCAAACTCCTGGGTCCTGAGGCAGGAGGACATGGGGGCATACACTCTGGGTCTGAAGGAGGAGGGGCTGGGGGCCTGGACCCCTGAGTCTGAGCGGGGAAGGGCTAGGGACCGGGACTCCTGGGCCTGAGGAGAGGCTCACCCTAATTGAAAACGACCTCATCTTAATTAATTACATCTGCAAATACCCTATTTCCGAATAATGTCACATTCTGTGGTCTACTGCAGGTTAGGATTTCAACATATGAATTTGTAGGGGGAGAGGGGCGAGGCAATTCAACCCATCCCACTTATAATACCCAAAAGTTGGAAGCAACCCAATTTTGTAATTGATATGTCCATCGACAGCTAAAAGAATAAGTTATTTATAATAACTTCATATAATGTACTCAATAAAAAGGAATGAGGACTTCCCTGATGGTCTAGGGATTAAGACTCCAAGCTCCCAATGCAGGGGGCATGGGTTCAAACCCTGGTCAGCGAAGATCCCACATGCCCTGTGGTGCGGGCCCCTCCCCCCCAACAAAGAAGGAATGAACTACTGGTATTTACACAATACGTATGATTCCAGTTACATGACAATCTAGGAAAAACAAAACTATAGTGAGAGAATGAAGATCAGTGGTTACCAAGGGCAGAGGGGGTGGGGGAAGTGATTACTGCAAAGGGAACTTTCGGGGGGTTTGGAAAGAATCTCTAAATCACACTGGTGTTTATATACATGATGACATGTATTTGTCAAATCTCATCAGCATGTTCACTTAAAAATAGTGAACTTTAGGGCTTCCCTGGTGGCGCAGTGGTTTGGAGTCCGCCTGCCGATGCAGGGGACGCGGGTTCGTGCCCCGGTCCGGGAAGATCCCACATGCCGCGGAGCGGCTGGGCCCGTGAGCCATGGCCGCTGAGCCTGCGTGTCCGGAGCCTGTGCTTCGCAATGGGAGAGGCCACAACAGTGGGAGGCCCGTGTATCGCACAAAAAAAAAAATAGTGAATTTTATTGCATGTAAATTATAGTGCAATAAAGCTGAAAAAAAACACTGAAAATATTTGCATAATTTTGTTTTGGAAATTATTTGACTCCAAGTAACTCGTTTGATTTATGATTGGATCGGGTTTGACAACAATCCACAGGCATACTTCAGAATACTTGTGAAATGACAAATATCTGACTGATAAATTGTTTCCACATGTCCCAAGAGATTTTTTTGTTTTTTGTTTTTTGTTTTTTTAGCAAGACAAAACATGCTTATTTAGTTAAAACTGGTGAGTGGGGGCAGGACACGGCAGAAGTGTACAGAGCTGGAGATGAGAGGGTCAGGGGTCAACACAGCACTCAGGATGGAGGATCCAGAAGTCTTGGAGGTGGGCAGTTCTTTGGTAACTTATCACCCACTTTCCTCGGAGCTACATGAGGCTCAAGAGCCCCAGGGGGCTCCAGAGTCCTGACCAGGAAGGGAAGGCTTGTCCCAACAAGTCTAGGGAGGCCCTGCCCCCAGCAACAGCAGGAACTCTTGGGGACAGGATGAAAGCACCTGGACAGCAAGCTCCAGGTTGGTCTCTAAGATGCGGATGTCCAGGGTAGAGAAAATCTAGAAACTCTGAAGCATCACCTCTTGGCTCCATCATCCACAGCTGAGGAATACCAGTAGCTGAGCCCAAGTGGGTTATCAAATGGATTAACCAAACACACACACACTTTGCAAACTAAAAAGCAAAAACAAAAGATAAAAACAACCCCAAAGCTGTCATGAATCACCATCTCATAGAGAACAGACAAGTGGCTACCAGTGTGGGGGGCGGGAGCAATACAGGGGTGGGCGAGTGGGAGGTATAAACTGCTGGGTGTTAGATAGTTACAGGGATGTATTTATTGTACAACATGGGGAATATAGCCAATATTTTGTAATAACTGTAAATGCAGTGGAGCCTTTAAAAATTGTATTTAAAAAATTGTACAAGGGGCTTCCCTGGTGGTGCAGTGGTTGAGAGTCCGCCTGCCGATGCAGGGTACATGGGTTCATGCCCTGGTCCGGGAGGATCCCACATGCTGCGGAACGGCTGGGCCTGTGAGCCATGGCCACTGAGCCTGCGCGTCCGGAGCCTGTGCTCTGCAACGGGAGAGGCCACAACAGTGAGAGGCCCGCATACGGCAAAAAAAATAAAATAAATAAAAAGTACGGACGCTGACTCTCTCAACCTCGAATAAAGCATCCCCCTTTGAGCCTTTTTCTTCTCTTTTATAAACTGGTCTCCTAATACCTACCTCTAGGGCAGGAGTTAAATATTTTCTGCAAAGGACCAGATAGCAAATAATTTCAGCTTTTGGGGTCATCTGGTCCCTGTTGCAACTACTCTGCCATTACAGCAGGAAAGCAGCTGCAGACAGTATACAAACAAATGAGCAGAGCGGTGTTCCAATAAAACTTTATTTACGAAAACAAGTGGAGGGACACAGTTTGCTGGCCCCTGTCACAAAGTTTGGAAGGATGACAGAAAGTAATTCATGACAAAGATCTAACCCACAGTAAATGCCAGAGCATTGATGACTGTAATGTTGTTACTATAAACAGAACAATGCATCCAAATTCCTTCCTCTGAGGACCTCCTACGTGATTCCCATATGCACCCAAGGTGTTTAGAATATCTCTTCCGGCTACCAGGTAAGCTATGCATCCCTTTATCATTGCTGAAGTTGTTAATAAATTCCTGATAAATGTTGGGTGCTGTTCCAGGTACTGAGAGGACTCTTCCCCCATCAGAGGGCTTATCGTACCCAAGTCATTCTCTCTCTCTCTCTCTCTCTCTTTCTCTCCACGCATATTCAGAACCCTTATCTGACATGTAAGAAACACGTTTCTCTACCTTGAAGCTACCATGCTGGACAGACCACATAGAGAAAAGGTCAGATGGTGGAGGAGCCCTAATTGGTCCACGCTCCAGCTGTTTGAGCCTTTCCATCCAAGACACTGCCCCAGCTTCCAACCCACCCCCATTGTCACCATGTAGAGCAGAGATGTGTCACTTCCACCAAGCCCTGTGCAGATGGCAGGTTCGTAAACAAACTAAATGTGGCCGTTGTCTGAAGCCACTAGGTCTTGGAATGATTTGTCACATGACCTTAGTAACTGGAAAAATTGATTCTTTGTTTCTTTGTTTAGTACAGGTGCTGAGTGCAGCGCTTTCATGCTCCATAACTGGGAGGAAGGGAAGGTAAAAGGAAGGAGGGGCAGGGTGCGGACAGAAGGGAAGGGTGGTGAGAAGGAAGGAAGACAAGAAAGGAAAGACTTAGTGAGTTTGCCTGGAGTAAAGCAGGCACCATACAAATAGCTGACCTCTCTGCTAGGATGGGGTGATGGGGACTCTGAGAGTTTGTGAGAGGCAGAAGGCCCCACTGTAAGGAGGCTGGGCAAGTTTCCTGCAGGATGTGGTGTTGATCACAGTGATACAAACAGAAAGGATTTCCTCAGGCCAGAAAGGATGCTCCAGACTGTGGGATCAGCTTAAGGAAAAGGTAGCACACAGGTATGTGCGGATATTGTGGGAGTGTAAGGTGTGGATGGGGTGGAAAGAAAGAGGCTGGAGTGGTTGGAAGGTGGAGCCAGATTATGGCTCAAATGCCAGGCTGAGAAACTTGGCTTTAATTCAGAGGATACTGGAGACCCATGAAAGAGTAATGAGCCATGGAAGGTCATGAGCAGATCTATGTTTTAGGAATCTTGTTTCCAGGTGAGATGTAGAATATGGACTGGAGAGGGGCATAAGGGACGTAGGAAGAGCAGCATTCAGGACCCATTAGGGAAAGTTGACTAGTTGTTCCCCAAACATACATTCTTCCTTTCTTGCTCATAATACTAGAGCCACTGGTTTATAGCTGGGCACATGAGCACCTAGAACAAAGAATCATTTCCCAGCCTCCTCTGCACCTAGCTGTGGCCATGTGTCTAAGTTCTGACTTAGACGAGATGTGAGCAAAAAGGACATGTGTACTCAAAATGAAAAGACACTTGCCCCCTTTCTTCTGGCTGCAAGGCAGATCTGATGGCAGGACCTGAGGCAGCCATTTTGGACCACGAGGTGGAAACCCTATTTTGCCAGAGTAATGAGATGGAAAGAGCCTGGGTCCCTGATGATTATGGAGCTGCCAAATGGGCCCTGGATCAACTGCAATAAATAAACTTCAACCCGATTTAAGCCACTAATAGTCCAGGTCTTTCTGTTACAGCAGCGATCCCATCTCAGAAAATAGCAACTCCAGTCTTCCCATTGCCTAGAGCAAAACATGGAGTCATGCTTATCTCCTCTTTTTCTCTCAATACCTGCCAGCTCTTCCTTCAAAATAT